AGGACACAGCAGAGAAAAGATTGTCCTGACTGAAGAACTGCATCCTGAGAGCATTCCTGAATCTGAATTTTAGCCTGTTACTTCCCTAGTAAACCCCATAATCATGAGTACTGTCTGTGAGCTCTGTGTGGCCACTACAACAAATTACTGAACCCAGTAGAGAAGTAGTGAGTGTCGTGGGAGCAACAGTTGGTGTCAGAGTTGATTAAAAGCCTGGAAAGTGGTGGCATGTTTGGCCTCCTAGGAATAAGCCTTGGGCTGATGATGGTGATTCTGTCTTCTTGTGAAGTTAGAGGAGGTCAGATGAGGATGCTGTCTCCACATCCTTTTTGCAATATCCAAAGTCATTACAGGGCCTACACCTCCACCATCCACTCCAATCCCTCTTATGGTCTCTTCATCACTCATTCTTCTGAACCCACTCAGACCTCCTTGAGTTCCATGAACAGGCCAGGTGAGTGGAACACTTTACGCTTGCTGTTTGTTCTTCCCCAGATACTTGAGCCTCCTCAGGACTCTGTGCAAATGCCCTTTTCTCAACAGACTCCTCCACAACAAATCTACTATCAACTGGAACTCAGCCTAACACGCCATATAAGCATCGCTCCATTCTTCTCCTTAGCACTTAAACTACTCTACGTAATTTATTTTCTTGTTTATTGTCTCCACTACAGTCCATGAGGAGCTCTGGAGGTGTAGTGGTTAAAGTATTTGGTTGCTAACCAAAAGGTCAGTAGCTCAAGCCCACCAGCTGCTCTGTAGACGAAAGATGAGGGAGTCTGCTACCATAAAGCTTTATAGTTGGAAACCAATGGCAATCACTGTAAGTTGGAATCAACACGATGGCAGTGAGTTTGGTTTTTTGAAAGTACCTAACAGAAAAACTTTTTATCTGTTTTGTTCACTGCTTTATTCCTAGACCCAAGAACATTTAAAATTAGAAGGCAGCTCAGGAAACATGGGATGAAGATAAGAATCAGTTCTAAGATGACATCAGCAAGGCAAGTTATGAACCGAAAAGCTGTTCTGAGGCAGGTGGGGACTTAGCCTTTGGTGGGGGAATACTGGGGATGCAGGTGCTGGTATTACAAGTTAGGAATCAGTTTCTGTCAGAGGATGTCAGAACTCACGCCTTACCCGGCCTCAAATCTACACATTTAGGGCTAGGCCCAAAACAAAAGCTGCTTTCCAACCTAATTGTGGCCATTCTGAGGCCAAGTCCATCATTTCCTTCATCTTCCCAGCACTCCACATGATCAGGCATTCAGTACTTATTGCTCATCCCACTCCCCTTTCAAAACTGTTTCTCTCAGATGAGTATGAACTAAATAGCAGTACTTTTTTCTTCTGAAATACCTGAATATCCTTGTAGCTGGGCAATCTTGCAACATCTGCAGGACTATATTCATTTATGTTATCAAGTGATATAAATGACAAAGGTAAATGGTCAGGTAATTTTTTTATGGAGGGCAATTTAAGGAGTACTTAATATTCATCAACTCAGAACTTCTTACTTTCCCTTGATAGTAAAGCGAGAGGCAAATGTAGTAGAAACAAGCTAAGACACTTTCCTATTGGTTATTATGTTTTCAGTAAAATGTGAAGTTGATAACTTACTCAAAGGTAAAGTAACTTACTCCAAGAAGGGCTGTAATAACTTGTTGAATTTAAAATGTTTTTACCTTTTTAAACACTAATTTTCCTGCATGACTCAACTCAAGGTTATAAACTCAGCCTATGCTTTGGGCTGTGATGGAAATGCCCAGATGTGGGTTATACCAGGCTGTTGGCTCTAGCCTAAGCGCTCCAAGGCTGTTTCTTCCAAGTTTGGGGTTCTGCTGCTGATGGGTGTTCTGCCTTCCCCTTCATGCTATCGTCTGACAGCTTCTGACGTTATCTCCATCCTTTTTAATGTGTTGTTTGTAATTAGTAGAGAGCTGGCAAATGTAACCCAAAACTTATGCTCAAAAGGAGACTCTGAGCATGGGCTTAAAAACTTCTCTGCTAAGAAAAGTTAATAGATCTGAGGCCTCCTCTTAGGTTGCTTTAGAACTTTTCCGTTTGCTTCACAGCTACCCTGTTGAGTTTAAAAAATCTTGAATAAAACCTCAACAAAAAGTTGTAATTTTTAAGAAACTGAATAGATCGTTATATTGCATACAGGTACCAGAATATCCTAAATAAATAAAGGAAAGCAGGAAGACAGTACGGTGCATAACAATGTAGAAATTATAGTTTACTTGATCCTCTCGTTTTTCTACTTCATTTATGGACTGTAGCTTATTTTCTGAAAAGCTGACATAAAAGCCCACTGGTTCTCCCTCCTCTGACTTTTGACATTCTTTAATTTACAAAATACTAGAATCCAAAGAGCATAAGACATTATCTACATTCAAACAGCAGTGTTTAATGGGGATGACACTGTAACAAATACATTGCCCTACCACAATCTAAAAGCCCATACCACTGAGAGAAAACACAAGCTCAAAAGGAGTACTGTGGTGAGTGCCTTAAATGAATCACAAAATAAAAGTGCTCTACCACAGGAAAGTTAAATTTGGGTACAACTTAAACTACATCTATTGGCTTTTAGCTCAGACATTAAAAGTGTTGTATAAAAATGATTAAATACTTCTAATGGAACCATTAAGAATAATATGCATTGCCCCACCTGCTACAATTACGAGCAGTTTTATTTTCTCAGATATAAGCCTTCTATCCCACAAAATACTTATATTCTTTCCCAAGGGATCTCTAAGCCATTTACGACATCTACTTGGAAAATAATCTGCAATAGTGTTATTTCTGTGACCCAGGAGGCAAGCCAATTAACATATTTGATGCAATTTTCTTTTTTTAATTGTGATTTGGGTGAAGATTTATAGAGCAAATTCACTTTCCATACAGCAGTTCACATACACTTTGTCTCATGACATTGACCGTTTAACCACAATGCAACAGTTCCCCTCCCACTTCCTCCCCATAGTTACCTCTTCCCTGTGTCCATCTCTCCATGCACTCCTGCCCCCTGAGCTGTCTCCCTATGCTTAAGCAGCCCTTCTTTCACTCATGATTGTTCTCTCCAAGGAGTGTATCTACCTGAGGTAAATGTTCAACACATATGCCTGTCTTTGGTTTGGCTGGAAACCACGGGTGTGGGTTCAATTCCAGACCTGAAGGGCAGCTAGGGCCCATAGTCTCAGTGGTTCCACCAGGCTCTATCAGACCAGCAAACCTGGTCCCCCCCCCTTTTATTTTCCTCCAAATGATTCTGAGTTTTGTTCCACGTTGTTCTCCCTCTCTATCAAGGATCTCCTACATAGATCCCCTTCCAAGTGGATGACAGTGATAGCCGGGTACCATCTATTTCTTCTGGTCTCATAGTCGTATAGACTGCAGATTGGATGGTGTACCAGTCGCTAGGACTAATTGTTTACATGAACTTTGGTTTTCTTCATTCTTGTTTGTTCTGGACGAGGAGAGACCCATTGTTGCATCTAGATGGCAGCTTGCTATCTTTTAAGATCCCAGTAGCTACTCGCCAAAGTAGGAGGTGGAACAATGTTTTGTATAGTATGTTATGCCAATTGAGCTTGATGTCCCCTGCGCCTATGGTCCCAAGCCCATAGGTTCAACTACTCGGTCCCTCTGGGTAGCTAGCTGTGACCAAGCAGTGACCACAACCTTTTGATGCAATTTTCAAAGGAATTATTCTATATATAATTTACAAATGTTTGGTCCTGCTCCTATCTCTTTAAAGATTCAGAAATTTGTCAGATGATTAGTTACAAGGGGCAAACTATGTACTAATGAATATAAGGCACTCAGAGATTCAGAGGTTTTTGTTTTGAACAAGCTCCATTCTTTGATATTCTTAACTTTTCTCAATTTTGCCTGTTTATCTAAAAGATACGTGTACTACAGTGGCATCCAAGCAGAAATATAGGCAGTTTGGCCCTTTAGGATTTTGTTTTATGGTGCTCAGAATTTAGAAGAAATGACTTTTTTTGGAACACTGCATTTTCAAGAAACTACTGCCCCCACCACTTGCTAACGTGCTAAAGCCAGAGGCATCAAAAACCTGACAGAAATGTTGGGTATGTCGCCAAGATGTTAAATGTTGCAAATACACAAACTGTAGTTACATTAATTAAAATATTATCTTTTGTCCAAGTGACAAAGTTTCTATTAAAGTTAAGAAAATTGACACTCCACCTAGACTCAAAAATAAGTCTATTTCATAGGAAGACTCACAACCAATCCCAAAGCAAAGCTCAGGGAACCCACTTAAGGAGGTTGCTGCCTCTCCTCTGCCCAAATGTTTGGCCATGGGTAAGTCAATTTCCCTTTCTCGACCTCAGTTTTCTCACATGCAAAATCTCTAAGGTCCTTTCCAGCTCCAAAGTTTTAGGATCCATCCTCTCCTCACAGCAGTAGATTCTGCATAATTTTAAAGGTACTTCAAAGCATGCCCCCCGTGCACATGCTATATTTGATCAACCTATAAGAAGGGATTCTCAACATGTGACTACAAGGCATACAGCCCTATGTTGTTGTTGTTATGTGCCGTCAAGTCGGCCCAACTCATAGCGACCCCTCCTTGGGTTTCCGAGGCAGTATCACTACAGAAGTAGGATTACCCAACCTTCCTTCCGAGGAGTGGCCAGTGGGTTTGAACCGCCAGCCTTCTGGTTAGCAGTCAAATGCCTTACGCACTATGCTACTAGAGCTCCTATACAGCCCTGTACACCAACAAAAATTTCAAATCTTGTTCACTAATTTCTAATGACCCTGGAAACTTTAAGATACCAATATAAAGCATTATGAGCCTAAGATGAACACTGAAATGTGATGGAGATATTATTATTCAGTAATCTTTAGAAGTACTCAAGTATCCAGAGCTAAGGAGCACACCGGGTCTTATCCCTCCTGGCCTTCTCTATCCTGATATATGACAGGACTCACAGAGGCCTGCAGTGAAGAAAGGGCCCTGTACCTACCATGCCACTTGCCCTTATAAACAGTCCCAAACGATCCTGACCCGATCCGAGTGGAGAGCATCACTTCACTGGCTTCTATTTCCCAGTAATAGCTTGAATCTCTCTGTCCACGAGGCCTCTGAAACAAAGAGAGATCATTAAAATACTCCATGGATTACTAAAGGTCTATTTAATGAGGGCATCAAAAAAAGAGATCTACCACCTCTACTCAGACAAACCAAAAATCCAAGGTCATCAACTAGATTGCAACTCATAGTGACCCTATAGGACAGAGTGCAACTGCCACATAGTGTTTCCAAGGCTGTAATCTTTACAAAAGCACATTGCCCTAACTTTCTCCTATAGAGCAGCTGGTGGGTTTGAACCACCGACCTTGTGGTTAGCAGCTGAGTGCTTTAACTACTGCATCACCAGGGTGCCAAAGACAGACCTTATTAACCATAATTCCAATTTGTGTCCCAACCCTAACACTTTCCATGTTAGCTGTGCCACCTTAAATGTCAGCAAACCAACAAGCTGTCCAATATATGTGTGCCAAAAATGACATAATATTTATAATCTCCTTCATTCAGTGCAATTTAAAATAACCTCCCAAAATAATTTAAAAGCATTCTAACTTCCAACTAGATTTCTGATTAAACCCTAATCTGCATGAGGTACTGAGGCCAGACTCACAATTTTGTTTTTCTCTTGGGTCCCGGATCCTGGCGCCCGCTCTCTCTGTGCCGGCACAGGGGTTTTGGACTGTGACCATCCTGTTGGGCTCAGATTGTTGGGACTGCTGGACAGGGCTGAAGGTGAGGCTTAATAGACAAGATAAACAAAATCCACACATGGATAAGCCACAGTATAAAGAGAAAAAGCCCATTATTATTTGCAACTTGACTATGAACAAGTACCTGATTCGCTGTGACTTCGAATTGCATCCTGAAACAGAAAAGGAAATCTGGTCAGCTTCAATACTAGAAAAGATTTTCTTTGGGGAAAGGAAAGGAGGGGAAGAAGATATGCAGGCAAAAAGTGGATTACAAAATCTCTAAAGTATAAAAGGTCTAATTACATACTCTAATCAACTTTCCTTTGATTAAATTCACCAAATGTCAGTGGCCACTATCTCAAAAAACTGTTTTCATCAAATATTAGGAGGATTGATACTAATTCCCCATAAACATAGAAAATACATTCTTTTCCTCAGAAGAAAACAATGAACACAGCAAACTGACAGCATTTCCAGAAGGCTAGCAAAGTTACTATCAGTTGAGATCCTTCAAAGATAGGAGATTTTGGTTTATTGAAGCTCCAAAAAATGAAGGGGGATAAAAACCCCACAAGATGTGGGATTAGGTGGAAAGCTCACTCATAGGAGTTCAGGGTACATCAACCAGAAGCTGGATGTAATAAAAGGAAGCAACATGACTACCTATTTTATTCAAATCTAAAATCATGGAAAGCTGGAAGGACCATAAATCTACATTTTACATTTAAAAAAAAAGAAAAACCCGTATTTGAATAGGTCAAGAGACTTGGCCAGGGTCGTACAGCCAGTAGACGGCAGGAAGAGAACTAGAACACCATGCATGGATCTCAGCCCAAAGCTTTTCCACCACAAAATGCTGCCTCATACTTTATGGAGTAAATTCTGAAATTAGTTACATTCTATTCATGTGAGAAGTCAAAGGCCACCTTAGGATTTCAGAAACTGTTTGGGGAACAATTTAAATCACAGGGACCTCCACAAGACCTCAGTCCTAATTTTCTGAATCTTCCCTTAGAGTAGAATTCGTAACAGACTAATATGAAACTACTTGGCCCCTATATCCTCAAAAAGGATATATTTTTCTGGGGATTCCTACTTCTTTTATTTTCTTTGAGTAACCACATATAAAGATATGATAATTTTCTCACACAACTATCACTAAAAGGTCCCTACTCAGTGTTATCTTTACAACATAAAAAGAATCATAAACTAAGTTGCTCTATCTCCTTCCTGGCCAACCCTGCCCAAGCATCTTCAGAGTTTATCCTTTAAGTCTGGTTCTGGGCATCCCAACCTGGCTAGGTTTCAGAATCACCTGGGAAGGTGTTTAAGAATACCAACTATCTCCTGCCCCACTGGAAATGAATGATTATGTCTGAGGAAGGAAAGGTAGGAAGCCCAGGAATCTGTATTTCTTTTAAGTACAGAATGAATGACCAGATAGGAAAACACTGGTCAAAAATAATCTGTATTGCAAATGAATATTCAGCACCTATAACTTCATTATTCAACTAATCTACTGTTTTTAGGTTTTTTTTTTTTTTTTATTCACATTGTATTTTTGTTGTTGTTGTTATGTGCTGTCGAGTTGTCTCCAACTCATAGCAACCCCCTCCTTGGGCTTCCAAGGCAGTATCACTATGGAAGTAGATTGCCCAACTTTCTTCCGAGGAATGGCTGGGGGTTTGAACCGACAACCTTCTGGTTAGCAGTCAAGTGCCTCAGGCACTATGCCACCAGAGCTCCCATTGCATTTTTACTGACCATAATTATATTCTCATGCCCTAGGATCTTTTTAATATCATAGCATTTTATTTCCCTGTATCCATTATATACCTCATATTTTATACTGAGCTAATTTCAACAACTAGATTGATTTCTCCTAAAAGGAATTTTCCTATCATCTTGTAATCTAAGTATTAGTCAAAAAAGTACAAATGGCTTAAACAAAGCAACAACATGGACTTTAAGAATGCTGAACTGCATGTGATAAAAAAATAAGAGAAATAATAATTTAGTGTTTCTAAAATATAGAGAGAATTAAGCACAACAGCTGTGATAATTATTTTATAATAAAAATTGAAGAATTTTCACTTTCAATGTTCCCTCTAAGTACTAGAGTGCTTATACAGGAACAGATCATATAATAGAAGAAAAGTAAATGATACATTATTTTATTATTTTACAGGCTAATTAAAACAGAAATAAGATTCATACATGACCCTCTTACAATCATCGTGTGATATGCAAAGTGCCTTCACAAGAACGAGTGAGGCCTCATATTTGGATATATTCAGAAGCCCACATTTTTGCTGAGTCCCTACCTCTAATTAGTACAACCTGAGAAAGCTGGAACCTATGTAAAGCGGAAACCTGTCAGTAAAGGAAAACTAAAAATATTTTCCATTAAAACAAGTGATAGAAAAGTGGTTAAGAATGAATCCTGTCAAAGGTGGAAAACTTGCAAGACTAGGAAAAACAAGGCAGTCCTTTCAAGTTCCAGCTGTCACAGTTTCACTGTATATCAAAAGGGATATGAGGTCCAAGTGAGATAAACTGTGCCTATGGTAACAGGTGTCCCTGAGGTTTTCCAAGGAAAAATTTATGATGTACAGAGAGCACAGTTATCTCTGATAAACTTTTAATAAAGGATGTTCCAGGGCATATCAACCAAACTGATAAATAGACTACTAATGATGGGAGCATCAATTAAATATGTCTAACATTTACTCTTTGGTTGGAATTTTTTTTTTTAAGTAAGTTTTTTAATGTCATTGGCCTCAAGACCTCACTTGAGAAATTTACTCCATCTACCAGCAATACCACATATAATACAACCTTTTACTCATATGTTGGAAATGTTAAATATACTCTATTGCCAAAAAGAATACATGGAAACCAGTCTGACAAGAAATATAAAATTTAAACTAGCAATTGTTTAATTTTTGATAGTCTACTGTCTGACAGTCTTAGCAATCCTGTTAATTACAAGAAAGCAAAGGCATGAAGAATAATACCTACTCTTCCCCTCAAATAAAATCGTCTGGACCACGCCCTGGGAGAAGCATTCAGGCTGTTATTCTAGTCCAAAGCAATGAGAAATAAAGAAGAATAAAGAACAAAGGAAGTATTTTGAGTATATTAAGTTTTTATTAAAGATGAACCAGAAAGCAAACCAAACAAATAGAACATACCAAAAAGTTGAGAAAAGAAAAAGCAGTTTGTTTTAAAACACTACCTTTGGGCACTTTTGTATCTCCCTAAATACCTACTTTTTAAAATCCTATGACTCTACCCTTTGATTTCTAAATAAAATCATCTGAAAGTCTTCCAGAGAGTTTGTAGTTCTCTATCAGTATTTTTTTCTTTCCCACACCATAATGAAACTACTCTTTATCTTACCCTAACTCACTGAAATCCCTAATTCAACTCTTACATGGAAAAATGAATTCAAATTTAGCATTTCTTCAGAAAAATTTAGTTCTCCACTTGAATGATATACCAATTGGATTATTCAGCCCAACTTAACATGTTATGAATAAAAAAGAATTCAGAAAGTTCAGGGGCCTGAGAAAGTGTTGCAATATTCCTGATTAGGTTTGAAACTCAAAATTCTTTGACAATTGTCAACACCACCCACAATAACTGACTAATTAATCACCACCCACAAAACAGTTTACCCCAAGGGGCCCTATTACCTCTATCACCCTGCTGTCCACAGGCAGGGTGGTGCTGACCATGTGGACATTAGGTGTGGAAGTCGACCTCTGCCTCTGGGAGAGCGAACCCTCAGAGGAGGGACTGGAAGTGTTGAACGTGAAGGCATGGGGTGTGGAGTATCTATGCTGAGAACTACAGAAGGACGAGAAGAAAATTCCATGAGTGGCACTCAGGCCTCCTATTAATACCACTACTTCATTTAGATACCCAGGGGTATCTTACCAGTACCACAATTTTTAACAGTTTTCCACTCTTTCAATATGCACCATTTAAAAATTCTCTTCTGTTCAGGTTTCTGTTAAAGTGCTCTTGCATGCAAATTTTTTTAAAAGGAACTAATAATACATGTGCTTTAAATTCATATGAAAAGTAGAATACTACATCATAAGTTTTCTTCTTTTTAATAAATCACCTCTATATAATACTCCACATTTTTACATGATAGATATATTTCACATATATATGTATTATCTTCACAGGCAATTTTTTTTGGTCAGACTTGCTTTTCAAATTATCAAAAAAAAAATAAATGAATAAAAATCTTACACAAATATATATCCAAGTATCACTTCAATACAAATTCCTTGTTCTGAGTTATGCTGCCCTTAACAATTTCCATGGTAGTTTTACAGAGGCCATTATCAATATGATTAACACATATACTAAAGTCAGTTATAAATAAAGACCTAGATTTTATTTTAGGTTCCAAATCCATGTACAACACTGAGTGAATCATGTGAACTCAAAAAAAATTCTGACTTTAAAGCTGGATAACAGAATATAGACAAATTATGAGCAAACTAATAATAAGCACATTAGAAAGGATATTTATATTGAAAATTCTTTAAGATAGCACTCTATTAAATACCATAGATTCAGCAATGCCAAGTTATAATAAGCATTTCAAAGTTGAAGATTTTATCTTCACTGAATCATTGTATACAGTTTCAGAACCCTTTCCACTGAGGTTCAACACACTGCTTATTGAGGAAGGCAAGATCTAAAGTTTTTTAAACTATGATGAGATATTATAAAGGCTGTTGTTGTTGTTAGGTGCTATTACAACAACAGGAGCTGTTACAGTCACTTTCTAGAATGTAAGAACTATAGGGACCACAAAGTGAAAAGTTCTACACTCTAGCAACCCCTATCTCTGGGATATCCAGGGCCGGAGAAGCAGCAAAAAGCAGCCAGGGAATACAAAGAACTCTCCTCTTTTATACCAGGCCAGACGCCCTACTCTCCCATGAGAGAAAAGCTACAAGTTAAAAATTACCTAACAGGCATCCGGGAAACAGATTCTCGCATCCGACGCATTGTCAAAGAAGGCAGTGCCGGGACCCCACTATCACCAACAGTGGAATTTGGAAACAATCTAAATGAAATCATGAAAAGACTGGCTTATAGATTTGCAATAATTTTGCAGAGTGTATCAAGCCTGCCTTGCCTCTTATAAACTCACAGCTATTCAAATTGCTTTCCCTGTCACATTTTCCTCTGCCATTTAAGCTACCTAGAGTAATGGGAGAAAGAACACTGGTGGCGCAGTGGTTATGTACTCAGATGCTAACCGAAAGGTTGGGGGTTCAAACACATCAGCACACTGGAGAATGATGTGGCAGTCCGCTTCCATAAAGATTACAACTTTGGAAACCCTATGAGATAGTTCTTTTCTGTCCTATAGTGTTACTATGAGTTGGAATTGACTCCATGACAACAGGTTTGGTTTTGGTTGAGAGTAAAGGTACCACCAACTCAAATGATTGGGTGTGAACTAGGTTAGAATTTTTGTTAAAAATTCTATGGAATGTGAATAGTATTGACCTGCCAATTAACATACAGACTCCAGCCTGCATTTTTAGCAAATACTAATATAAGTAGTCCAAGTCCACCTCTATCAATATGTTTTTTAAAACTATATTAGGGCATTTTATAACCTATATAACATAGAGCTTTCCGGGAAACACACACATGAAAAAACTAAAATATGAAGAATAAGTCATATTCTGCACCAAAAATCGTAACAAGAGAAAAAATAACATTAATATTAACTAGACACCTTCTTTCCATGAGTCAGGCACTTGTACACAGCAATTTCATATGTTATCATGGTCAACCCTCAGAATACTGCAAGGAGGGAATATACCTTTTTTTCAGATAAGAAAATTGAGGCTCAGAGATTACAGCTAGTTAACAACTGCAATGCCATGAATTACTTAATAATAATATGGTCCTTCTAGTCACAGTCCTCCATTTTTGTGATGTACTATAAATCCTAGCCTCTATTCCACCAGGTTCAAGCCTTTAAAGCTAAGGGGTCACCATCAGCCTGGAGGAAGTGCAGGTCTGATTCCAGCAGATGGTGGGTTGGGGACCAGAATCCTGTATATCACACTGTCTCTGGGCTTCCAGTATTCTGTTTTCCTGTTGCCTTCCCTTAGTATATAAGGAGCTTTGGTGGTATAGTGGGCAAAGTATTTGGCTGCTAACCAGAAGGTCGACAGTTCAAACCCACCAGCTGCTCCGTGGAAGGAAGATGAGGCAATCTACTTCCATAAAGATTTACAGCCTTGGAGACCCAACAGGGGTTGCTATGAGCTGGAATCGACTCTGGCAGTGAGTTTTAGACCTTTGGTTATGGTCCTATTTTGGAGTGAGTTGTCTGTTACGGTAACGAGGCAGGATCAGGGTGGGACATAATTTGAGTTACTACCCTTAGTTTTTCCTGAAGGTATGGTCTGCATCCAACATATATGAATGCTCTGGCAAAGTTCACTGTCTTGCTCTGGATCCTACATCTGGTTTGTCATCATGTAACCCCCAGTTCTTGGGCCCTGAGACAGCTGCCAGTCATGTGAAGTGCCAATTTGGGTTCGTCAGCCCCTGTAACCACCATGTGAGTGAGAGAATCCTCCAAACTGACACCTGACCTATGGATTTGGGACTTGCCAGCTGTCACCACCATGCGAGCCATTTCCTTGGCAGTTGGTGAGCTCCATGAGATACTACAGCAAAATACAAAACCCCAAGACAGGAGGGAGAGTACTAAGGGGAGGAGGAGGAGGAGGACTTGAAGTCAGAGATGATGGAGTGGTACAGCTGTTTGGAAAAGTTGGACATATGGGACATCTTTAACCTCCACCTCATAGGGACTAGCCTTGTCCTGATTCTTCTAAAAGAAATTATTAGCAATAACAAAGCCAAGGTTCTGACGCCTGTCTGTTGGGCTCCAAAGCCTATAGCATATATACCACAAAAGCTCCATTAGTAAAAGCAACATGTGACTACCATGAAAACAGAAAAGTTCTCATCATGGTTTAATGATAACACTGTCATTGTTTTTTTAGCATCCTCAAAAAAGGATAAAAGGTTGACTTTGACTTAACAGACAAATTGGATCTTTTTATTTAAACCTTCCTAACAAAGAAATAGATACCCATCTATATGAAATATATTTTGATAACAAGTCTGTCTCATGAAAAAATAAAGCATTTTTAAATTTTTATATTCAAATCATTTGAAGTCCACAAAATGTTTTCTCCATTTTTAAGTAAAGAAAATAGCACCAACTATGCTATCTATTCCATCTCAGTGCCAATAACTATGCTCTGTATTTAACAAAATACAGAGCAGTGTACAGTAGCATCTTAGTAGCTAACACCATTAACAGAGAAAAGATAAAAGCCTTTTTCTCTTTTTCCTTTGTTCTTTTTCTGACTGATTCATAGTATATCAATCTCTATTTGATGATAATAGGTCCTATTTGCTCATTTTAGAGGGTTGTAATTGCCATCCTAAAATCACTGGTTTCATAACAGCCATGCTTCTAAAGTAGATGGTCTTCAGATCACAGTAATTCATTTAACGAGTCTGAAAACCAGGCTTGTCAGTCAAAATATGCAAAAAACAAAAAACCAAATCCACTGCCACTGAGTCAATTCTGACCAAAGTGAACCTACAGAACAGAGTAGAACAGCCCCATAGGGTTTCCAAAGCTGTAAATCTTTACAGAAGCAGACTGCCCCATCTCTCTCCTGTGGAGCAGCTGGTGGGTTCAAAATGCCCACTTTTGGCTAGTAGCTGAGCACATTAACCACTGCACTATAAGCACCCTCAAAAATGTTTGTACTTTTCTCCTTCCACATTCTTTTGGGAAAAAAAAAGAATGACTTCTTACAAGAGTTGTCTGATATTACTCCAGTCCACACACATAGTAGGTACTTTGGTGCTACAGTGCTCATGAAATTTGTAGCCACAAGTCTGACATCGAAACCCATTTAGCAGAAATTTCTGACAGATGTCACAAAAGGCAAGCTTCAGGAACGTCTTCCGAGCCTAGAACAACAATAACACAAGTATAAAGCATACTGAATAAATAAAAGGCAAAAAATGACAAAATAATTTCCTCCTTGTCCACCAAATGAGTTTTTATAGAGTGAAGAATCATATGTCCAACATTCACAAAATTTAACAATAGAAATTAAAGTATATCTCTGATAAAAGCTTTTTTCTCTTTCTGTGTCCCTTCGTTCTTTTTCTGACTAATTCATAGTATATCAATCTCTATTTGATGATAATAGGTCCTGTTTGCTCAATTTAGAGAGTTGTAATTGCCATCCTAACCTCAACCTCAAAAGTGCCCTACTGTAAACAACAACAGATCTAGAGCTGTAAACAATTCAATTTATGTATTTATTACCTCTAAGAAATTCTTATTATGCCAATCAAAGCAACCAACATGCCACCAAAATGGAACAGAGATGCAACTTACAAAGTTGTGTGTCGTGAGGGGAACATGATCCAAGAAATCTACTTGAAGTTCTTCTCCAATCAAAGAGGCAGCATCAGTATTCCAATCTAATCGTGCTTTTTTACTAAAATGAATTTTAAAAAGCATAAGGAAATATTTGAACAAGGTAAGAGAGTTCAGTACCAATAAGCACAGCTACATTTATTGCATCCTTATACACAAAGTACAAAGTATCTACATTATTTTAATCCATACAACAAAGCCATTAAAAAAAAAGCAATGAAATAGCACAATCCCCTGATAAACTAAATATATAATAAACTGAACTTTGTGACATTGAAACCTATAAAAATCCTAAAATGCTGTATAACATGGGCTATAAACATTACCATGGTACCAAAATCTAGTTCTCTCATTAGCCAACTTCAGTCTAGAAGATACACAACTAGAGAAGAACCAGAGATGGAATGCACTTTTCTATTAATAAATTTTGGCTCAAATCTGTAGAACTGTTTGCAGAGTCTATAAATATTAAGGTGATGGCAGAATGCAAACTGCTTACACTATTTCCAAAACTGTCTTAAAACTTACTACAAGACCTCTCTATAAACCTAAAGTACACAATATTGGCAGATACGCTAAAGTAAAAATTAATACCCAGTTCCTTTCTCAAGTCTTTTCCAGGTAATCTGGCCTATTTCCTGAAGGAAGAATATTCTCAGATATGGAGAGAACAACACATACACGTTGTTATTATTGTTAGGTGCCACTGAGTCAATTCTGACTCACAGTGACCCTATTTACAACAAAAGGAAACAATGCCTGGTCCTACATCATCTTCATAATCATTGCTATGTTTGAGCCCGTTGTTGCAGCCACTGTGTCAATCCATCTTGTTCAGAGTCTTCCTTTTTACTGACCCTCTACTTTACCAAGCATGATGTCCTTCTCCAGGGACTGGTTTCTTCTGCTAACATGTCCAAAGAAAGTAAGAAGAAATCTCACCATCCTCCCATCTAAGGAGCATTCTGGCTGTACTTCCTTTAAGACAGATTTGTTCGTTTTTCTGGCAGTCATGATATATACAATATTCTTCATACATAGTATCAATCAAACTTCTCCCATCATCTACCAGAAACCTATTCCAGATACTTTTTTTCCTGGTTATACAACAGCAAATAATCCCTAGCAAATAACTGTTTAATGTAACTCCCTATACTAGGTCTGGGAAAACACATATCACTCCCAAAGTCCTAATTTTACCTAATTTGGGGGTGGGGTTTTCCTCGGTTCTTCATCAGTGTTCAGGAGTAGTTTGTCCTAGAGAGAATCCAGGGCCACTCCAACCAGTGCAGCCTTGGACCATAGTAGACCAAGCCACTCTGTGTCTCATAATTAAAGAGTATTATAAATTGGCCTGGGAACCAACTTGGGACCACAACCAGCAAAAACTGACATCTGCTTCAAAGATTTCCATTTCAAAGAACTACCTCCTAAGCTGAATGAAACAGCGATATTTATGCTCCCTTCTTTTAGGAGACTCATTCTTTCTGGGTTATTCTCTCAAACTGGAGAACTCTTAGAACTGTGAAAGATTAAGAGGAATGTCTATTGCAGAGGTGCCATTTTCCAAGAAGAGGGTTAAAAGAAACTCCTAAAAGGTTTCCCCAGAGTTTAGGGGAATTGTTGTTAGATGCCCTCAAGTTGGCTCCGACTCATAGTGACCCTCTGTACAACAGAATGAAGCATTCCCAGTTGTGCACTATCACCACGATCCTTGCTCTACCTGACCCCACTGTTGTAGCCACTGTGTCAATCCATCTCACTGAGGGTCTTCCCCTTTTTCACTGACCCTCCACTTTACCAAGCATGATCTCCTCCAGGGAATGGTCCCTTCTGACACATGAAAGGAGGTAAGATGAAGGCCAGCCATTCTCACTTCCAAGGAGCATCTGGCTGCATTTCTTCCAGGATACATTTGTTCGTTCTGGCAGTCCATGGTACTTTCAGTATCCTTCACCAACACCACAACTCAAAAGCATCAACTCTTCTTAGGTATTCCTTATTCACTGTCCACCTTTCATATGCATATGAGGCTATTGAAAATGCCAGGGCTTGGGTTAGGCACGCCTTAGTCTTCAAAGAGACATCTTTGTTCTTCAGCACTTTCAAGAGGTCTTTTGCAGCATATCTACCCAGTGCAATACGCCTGATTTCCTGACTGCTGCTTCCATTGGTGTTGACTGTGGATCCAAGTAATATAAAATCTTTGACAACTTCAATCTTTATGGATAATTACTGACAGCTCTGCAGCTTTGGGTTATTACTTCAAGCCTTTCAGGGAATATTTCTATCTTACTATTACCATCAGAAACAAGATTAACTATAGATCTTCCCTGAAATAGAAATTTTGTAGCATTTTTAACTCTGTTAAACAGCAAGGATTCAGAAAATATTAAGCTGAATAAAAATGAATGACTGAATAAAAGATTGTAAAATCTCTTCAGGATAGGATTTTTAAGCTATAAAACAATAATGCAACACCTTCTGAATAGCTACTCTATGCAGTGCACTATAGCAAATACAAAGAAAAATATTTTTTCTCTCAAGAAATATACTGACATTATTGTTTCCATAAATGGAAACATTAAACACCTATCATGTACTTTATTTCTCAATAGAATGTCCAAGCAGTAATTTCAAGTTCTTGGTACTTATTTTTCTAAATTGTCTCTTTATAAATAAGAATATACAAAATACAAATATACAACAGTCTATAGGAATTTATACAATTTTTTATAAAAGAAAATATAGTTATTATTTGAAGTAGGAAGTCCTATCTTGCGTGAAGAAGGTAATAACTGCCTTCGAGCTCTTACCCTCTGTGTTCGTGGAGAAGTCGGAATACTGCACAACATTCTGGTTGCAAGCCCCTCACCTTGAGGGCTTTCATAAGGCAGTCATGCAAGCTCATTCCATTTCGCACATTGACCTACAAATAAAGGATCATCTTTAAGATTAAACACAGGGTGCAGCTCCCCTTGGAAAGGTGGGCCAGAGAAATAAATGCAATACTCCATTGTGTTTATGTAGAAGAATATTCATGACAGCACTGCTTATAATGGTACACACACACACAAATACAAACGGAACTATATGAATGTCCAAATAAGTGAGTGTTTAAATAAAGCATGGAACAGCCATATTATATAAAATTATTTAGTATTATATTACTATAAACACCCTAGAGGGGTTTATATAAATCCATGATTTATCAATTAGAGAAAAATAATTTGCAGACTAATACAAACAGTATGATTATTAGAAAAGGAGGAAGTCTACACATTATATGTTTACATATGTCATATGGGTGTGGAAAGATATATACCAAGTGGCTGGGAGAGATAAAATGATCAGCTTTTCCTTTATATATCTTTAATTTGAAATACTTATCTTAAATGCACTCCACACTAGCAAAAGCAAGCAGGAAGCTGAGGAAATAGAGCTTCTGCCCTGCTATGAGGGAAAAAAACATCAATGCTGGTTTAAATGAATGTGCATAAGGTAGAGGACAGCCTAAGCAGAATACACCCTATACCTAACCTTCAAAAGCCAGGCAGGCTTTCAGAGGTCTACTGGGAAGTATGAGTGCCAAGGAGGGGTCACTATGTGTCAGATCCGACTCGATGGCAGTGAGTTAGTGTGTGTGTGTACAAATATATATACATACATGCATAAATACATACACATACACACACATATATGTTGTCACACACACACACACATATATATATGTTGTTGTTATGTGCCATCGAGTCAGATCTGACTCATAATGACCCTTCTTGGGTTTCCAAGGCAGTATCACTACGGAAGTAGACTGCCCAACCTTCCTTTCGAGGAGTGGCTGGTGGCTTTGAACCGCCAGCCTTCTGGTTAGCAGTCAAGTGCCTTAGGCACTACACTACCAGAGCTCCTAGAATATATAGATATATATACACACACACATACACACATACATGTAGATTAACTGCTTCAATAAATCCTATTTTTAATTATTTTTTTTAACAAGATAATTATATTTGTAAATAATTTTTTATTATTTTTAAAGATGGGCTCCACATTAAGATAGTACAACATACAACAATTTGAATTTGTCGAACAGATACATTCAGGAGGTGATAGGAGTGAAGGAGGAACATTCTCTTGGAAGAATTACATGAGAGAAACAAACAAACAAAAAACCAAACTCACTGACATCAAGTTGATTCCGCCTAATAACAACCCCCTTTGGGTTTCCAAGGCGGTAAATCTTTACAGAAGTAGATGGCCAGTCTTCCTTCCACAGTGGCTGATGGGTTTTAACCACCAACCTTCTGGTTAGCAGTCAAATGCCTTAGGCACTATGCCACCAGAGCTCCTTCCTGGGAGAAAAGGAAAGGGTTTTCCAAACTGCAAAATCTCCTTCAGAGATTCTGATAGTTATCCTATGCTACTAATGGTTTGTCGTCTTCAGAAGATTGTGGAAAAACAAGGTAGGAGGGGCCGTGCTGATTCTTCAAATAGGTGAAAGATTTCTTTATAACAGGAAGCCTCTGAAAAACTGAACTGCGGAGCTAGGACAAGAGTGACCTGATACTTCTGACCTATATAAATGTATTACTTATTAAAAATGAATAAATATAATTAACATTCTTTAAATGTTTCTTGTACACAGTGAAATATTCTACATAAAATGATGCCTGGGATTTGTGCCAAAATAATTGAAAGGAGTGGATGGAAATAAAGATCAAACAAAATTGCCACGATCTGGGTGGTGGGTATATCAGATTCATTATTCTAACCTCTCCACTTTTGTGCAGGTTTAAAATTCTCCATAACAAGTTTGTTTTTTCTTTTCCTTTGAAGCAGTGGTATTCTTAGAAAGATCTCACTAAGTTTCAGCTTTCCAGAAACAAAACGCTTACACTGATCTGAACTATGATGATACCAAGAATAAGAAAATTGAAAAATAATACACACTCACTAACAGAATCATAACCTGCATCAAACTGTGCAGCAGGGCTTTGAAAGCTGTAAGGTGATACCTGTATTTTATCATCAATATTCACTGTTAAGTCCCAGACT